TCAAGCCATCAGGAGAGGCAGAACCTCACTAGGAGAATGATCCATGGACTACACTGCTCTGTAGCCAGGGGTCTTGGGAAGCCACTGTAACTGCCAAAAGTCAGAGTTTCCTATAGTCTGTGGTGCCTGGAACATTCTGGACCTCTCCCAGCACACTCGGGGTTTTAATTTATTTCATTATGTTGTTTCACCTTCAGGTCTGTCCAGTTCCTTCAGGTTGGTCTTCATACTACACGGTTTCTTGTACTGTATAAGGGGAATATTTGTTTCCTGTGAGTGTCATGTGTGTGTCATATGCATGTTATTTGAGAGGATGCATTATATAAAACAATACTGTTGTTGATTTTATTCTCATACTTTGTTTGCGTTCTTGTGATTTGTGGGGTATCCTGAGATGCTCTTTGGAAACCCTAAGCTTATGTGTCTGTTGTGGATTTCATTGCCTAGGGAGACTAGGCAGTAATGTTTTGAGAGGAAGTACTCCCCAAAATATCTTGTCCTGGCAGGGATCCACACAGGAAGGTTTTATAGTCTTCTCCTTGGAGAGAGTAGAACTGGCTACTACAGTCTGAGACCCTAATGAGGAAGGATGTAGGCATCTTGTCCTTGTAGGTAAATAGTCGACAAAATGTACCTACTTCCAGTATGACTTGTGCTAAAGATCTCATATTTTTATCCTTTTTCAAGACTGAACTTCTAAACTTCTTTTGCTAGCAAATGAGGATTTTGGTAGAAGGAAATCTTGGACTTTGTTTCTTTAACAAAGTTTAGCAATTCCTTTTGTTTTCAGTTTCATCTTACCCCCCCCCCCCCATGTTATTACAGTGGCCAACATCCTGTTTGGGGAGGGCAGATGGAGAACTCCAGGTTATATCTGGTTCTGCTTGTTTTCTCTTCCCATCAGTTTAGGATTAAGCCTTTTTTGTTTTAAAATCTATTTTACTTCCATGCACAGTAGAAGATGCACCAGTTGAACAGTTTCTACATATACAATTCAGTGACATTTATTGCATTCTTCAAGTTGTGCCACCATTCACGCCCTCCTTTGCCATGGTATCCTTCCCCATTAGCTCACTCCCTCTTAAATTTCCTATCTAATCTTTCATGTTGTTGTTGCCAATTGTATATCATATAGATCTTTAAAAGATCACAACATGCATGGTAAGCATTCTCTATTAATTAAGCTAAACAGCCGTAGAAATCCAGTAGAATCATCTATATGATTCAAAATTGACTTGGTAACAGTGAGTTTGGGTTATTGTTTTGTTTTAAAGGAGATCTTCAGGGATATTTTTTAAGACTTAAAGTTTAAAGATTATATCTATTCAGTAGTTTGGGGAGCTTATCCAACAACTATGACTCCAGAAAGTTTGGATTCTGTGATATTTTAAAATTCTATTCCACAATTAACCCCTTTTGATCAGAATTTTTCTAGGAATTCTTTGAATAGAATAATGGTAACCATCCACTCACCTCTAGTTCTGATCCCATGCAAAGGAGGCTGTTCTTGGAGGCAATTTGTCACACATTCCATTTCCTTTTTTTCTTCCTGACTCTCCTTTCTCTTTTTTCCCTCTTTAACTCTCCTGGAAAGGTTTAATTAATTGGATTTTGGATAGAATCCTTTGTGTGCATTTTAAACATGTAACCCAAGACCCTGTCAAGTCTGAAAAGAACATGTAATGGATTTTGTAACCTGAAGTGCAAATTGAGGCAATAATGACCTCGTTGCATGTAATGTTAAATATTAATTTTTTGTGTAAAAATGGAATTAGAATAATTTTCTCTAAGATTTATTTTCCATTTTTCACTATTGTGAAGTTTGACAGAAAGCTGAAATGGACAGCCTAGTTATTTTCTTTGTGAAACAAAGGTGTACTTTAGGTATAGATTATAAGTTAAGTTGTGGATTTGTTGAAATGTGATGTGTCTTTCTGTGAAATGGAGATACTATCTAGACTAGAGTGAAAACGCATACCCTGTAAAAGTGAGATTGAGTTTTATAGAGAATCAAGAGAAGAGTGAATGCAAGTATTCATGGTTACATTACCAAGTTTGAGCATTTGATACGAAATGCAAAGCTTAAAGATATATAATCACGCTCATGAAAGTACATAGACATTTCCTAATCAAGTCGTAAATTTTACTGGTGTGCGCAATATTCTTTTTAATAACTTATCATTCTAAATTAAGAGCTAGAACTTGTTATGTATATTAGATACTGACGCCCATATAAAGAAAATTCAAATGATAATGTAACTTTTCTATTAATTTTGAGATTCCAACTGTATAGTTCTTTATGTGCTGGCATTTATATTCATTTAGGTGGCATTTTTTTTCTTTAAAATTTTTTTTATTTTATTGTAATTTTTTTTTAAAATTTAGGTTGTTTATTTTT